TTTATTTCTAGCTAAAATTAGAACTAAAGTTAGATTTTTACTATAAAATCAATAATTGCAGTCAAATGATGATATTGTGAGCGGATCAGCGTCTTCGCTGCCAGCAGCACAACCCTATGTATTTGATATAGCCGAACCGGATATCCGTGTAGCCCCATCCAAACTTGGCTCATTCGCCGATGGCAACACTCCACATGACAAAAATTTGCCGAACCGGGATGCCGAAATGGCGCAGAACATACGTGATGGACGAGTGATGAAGAATGAAGAGCCACAAGTTCCAGAGAATCACGATGGGGATGCGAAATCGGATGATTCAATCCCGACACGTTTCGAAGCTATCAAAGCGGTAGACATTATTTTACAAGAAATCGCTCTCAGCGCTGCGTAGCTGCAAGCATTGTTCTCTAGCTATGCAACTGATAGCTTTTTCATTTTCCTTGCATCGTCCGGTGGTCAGCCCAGTGCTGGTGGCCCTCATTTCGTCTCCCATTTCCAAATTTAGACCATTAAACCAAAAGTTATGTAATGAGATTATAGAGGTCGAAGATCACCGGATGAATTTTTCGAAATGATGAGGTCAATTATTTCAATTGTTTGGAGAGTCGGCCACGTACTTTTCTAAGTACAGTTAAACTGCAGTATGAGTACCATAATCCATTTCAGATTGAAACGTTACTCAAAGTACCCGGTGTTCAACAAGTGGCTGTTGTCCAGAGTAATGCAAGAATATCCGAGAACGGCCCAATGAGGGGGCAAGCTTCAAACGATGGTTTGCTTTCGAATTCTGTGTTCATTCCAAAGGCAGTTTGAGGTTAAAGGTATTTGCCGTAAAAACAGGTCTTTTCTGAAAATAAGGAAATGCTTCTGGCCTGTGTGTCAATCTCAATGAAAATTCCTGTCAAAAGCTTGCCAGCAATACTGTCCAGACAGCCAGTATGAGGATTCCATGTTTTTGAAACTGGAATACTCCCCACACCGGGTGCAACTAAGCCAGACTGTTCGATCCTGGGTTGCATACCATCAATTAATACACTTTGCCCTTTGGCTGTATGTGCATCACTTCTCCATAGGCTGCCTAAGTTATTTTTCTCGTAAATACCACTCC